GCAGCTCTGCCTGTCCCGCTGTCGGACACCGGCTCCCTGGGGCGACATCCCGAGTGTGAACTGCACTTCTCCGGGGCTCTTGGGGTGGTCCACGCCTGGGTCCCGTTAGACTGGTGCATCCCAGGATACCTCCTCCTTCCCGCCCAGCTCAGTGATGATGCCTGAGCTGGATGATGTCTTCCGCTGTGGCTTGGTACTTGGCTTTGATGGTACTTTCATAGGAATTCCTTGTGAATCCCCGGGCAGCACACGCCTGGCCCACTGGAGCTCCAAGTCTGGGCCCTCTCTCTCCAGGGTTCCTTCATGCTCTGACTCTCCTGGCACGATGCTGTGCACTGAGCTGGGCAGAAGGTGCTGGACCTGCTCTGGGCTGGGCACTGTGCAGACCAGTTCCTTTCTTTTTTTTTTTACAAACTGAGGCACAGGAAGTTCCGTCTGAACATGAGGAAGAACTTTTTCCCTCTGAGGGTGACGGAGCACTGGAACAGGCTGCCCAGGAAGGTTGTGGAGTCTCCTTCTCTGGAGATATTCAAGACCCGCCTGGACAAGGTCCTGTGCAGCTTGCTGTAGGTGACCCTACTTCGACAGGGGGGTTGGACTAAATGACCCACAGAGGTCCCTTTCCAACCCCTACTATTCTGTGATTCTGTGATTCTCCCTCCCGTTTTTATCTGTCCGGCTGTCTGTCCCACCCAGCTCCTCTCTTTGAGGTTGAAGCTCACACCCCTGGTGCCTGCTGCCCTGTGCCGGAGCGGGGATGGGCAGCGTGCCAGGGAGAGCGAGGAGGAGGAGCAGGAGCAAGGCAAGGCATGTCCCCTTGTCTGCAGGGTAGGGTGTGAGTTGTCCCCTGGGGATGGGTGCCTGCCGTCTCGGTCGTGATGCTGGCTCTGGTGTCCGGTGCCTCTTTTGCCTGAGGTTTAGTTAAAAGCAGCCCTCTTGCTGAGGAGGGTCACCTCTCTGCAGGGGTAATAAAGTGGGCTGAACTATTGAATTTATCCTTCTGTCTCTCCTCCTAAATCAGCCCGACGACTGCTGCAAGCCTTGGAGATCCTGACTGTCCTGTCCCTCGGGATGTGGGGTGAGCTGAGGTTGTACAACCACGGCCTGAACATGAGACGCCCGGGGGGGTCTCTGCTCCAGGCCATGTCCCCGTGCCCCTCCCGCTCCCCTCGGGCGTCCCTGTGCTCTGGGGGGGTCCCCGGCCTCTCCTCGCTGCTGTGGGACGGGGCCACGGAGCCTCCTGCACCCCTTCCAGCGCTTGTAGCTCCGTCTGGCTGTTCCTCCAGAAGCTGGGCGGGGGGCCCATCCTCCTCGGGCAGTGCTGGTGTAGTTCACAGCCTCTGATTTCTTTTCAAGCCCCCTCCCTGGGAGCTGGCCCATGGCTGTGGGGCTCTGCGAGGACTCCCTGCTGCGGGGACCTGGCTGGGTCCCTCTGCCCTGCGCTTGAGGCCGGCAGCTCCCGCCCGGGGCTCTGGGCCGGCCATGGGCAAGCTGGGACCCCGCACCCTGTAGAGCCCTGGGGCGAGCTGCCCGTGCCTGCCTGGCCAAAGCGGAGCTGGGATGGGGACCTGTGCCAGGATCCCAGGAGAGGGATCTTCGCTTCTGCCTCGTCCAAGTGGTGCTTTGGGCAGCCACAAATCCCAGGCAGGGCAAGGAGGGGGCAATAGTCACCCTCCACTCCCAGTTGCTCGGATACGAATGCCATGGGGTCTTCCAAAGCAGGGAGGGGATCATCATCCCTGCTCAGTGCTGCCCTGTGCAGGCCCAGGGAGCTCTGCCCCTGCCCCGCAGCCCCGGCCAT